TGTCATCATGCAACCTAACATCGTCTAACATGGGGCATTCCGGATTGCATAGCGCAACATGTACAGTCAGAAATGGTTCGGACATGTTAGGACATGACCATATCGAACGATGTGCCGACTTCTAGGCGTTGCCCTGCGAAGTTTGAATCACTGTTACCTGAATCTTGCACAAACCTGCCCGTGCCTGTTTCTCAGTACAAATGTGAACGCCATAGCAAGCCGTTGCCTGGCCTGGCATAAACACGCAAACACTCCATACAGATGGTAGCTGTTCCCATGAAAAGGGCAGCAAATCTGAGTGTCTTGATCAACCTGTTTCCTGGCCAAACATGTGAGCATTCTATAGCATTCTTGACTATCCTCGATATGCACAGACTAAAACATCTTCACATATCTTCACTCATTTACGCCTACGCCCTATGCATTTCTGATGATTTCTGAGTTCTTTTTGGCTGAGCCAGGCTGCTGCACTGCAGCTTTGCTGCGGCTCATGGTCAGCGACGGCCGCCTAAGCCGACCAACAAACACTCACACTGAGGTCGCATTGGATTCCTTGATCTGTAACAACATGCAACAAACACAAACCTGTGTTAACTTGTGCCTTATGCAATTTTCCGAAGGGTTGACACTCGCGCATTAAAACAAAATTGTCCAAGTGAAGAACTGTTTCGTCTCCTTCTGCTTGGCCGAGGTTCCGTTTTTTGAAATGTTCCTCAAAGTCCAGCAATGTTACTCGGCCTTGGTTTGCCAGCTTCAATAACGAATTTTAAAAAACATACAAAATCATGCAACACATCCAGAACAACCAATTGAAAAAAAGGAAGCGCGCACAGCAGTTTAGTGGTGCTCTCGCGTGCTGGATGTGAAACAAAAACTTTGGAACCCTTCCCTACCTTAGAATTTTGAAACCTTGGAACATTGAAAAGTGAACGCCCTGAAAATTGTATATATATATATATATTTGCCGATGTTCCAAGCATACGCTGTTGCAGAACAATTGGTTTTGAAATGTCTCCCGATGCTCCTTCTGCCTGTTCCCTCAGCTTCCGAAGGGACAAGCCACAAGACCCAAAATGACCCAAATATATTTAACTTTCAGAACGGCGTCAAGACAACGAAACGGCTAAGCCAAGCTAAGATTCGCTTCCCATGAGAAATCTTGTCAAATAGGTCCTGCGGCCGAAGTCGAGCGAGGGCCTGCTTCAAACTCCGAATCCACCAGGGACACACACACACAAAAATCCGCCGACCCCAGCCAACAGCAGGGGGAGCGCGTCAGAGGAAAAGTGTTGCTTGCGAGGCATAACAACGAGAGGTGTTTTTCGAAGAGCCACTTTTCTAGAAGGTTCAAAAAGTATCAAAAAATAACGTGCCGCAATGGCATCCTGCAACGCGATGCCCGCTGAAGTTGTCAGTTCCATGGTGTGTTGCCGTGGCGGGCCGGGGGTTTGGATGCTGGTGTCCGTGGCTCGAGAGCTCGTTTTCCAGAGGCTTCAGAAAATAACGTCTGTCCGGCGCTGGCATCCTAGCGCCCGAAGCCCACTGAAACTGTCAGCTGCATGGTGTTTGGCCGTGGCGCAGCGAAGCTTTGGAGGCTGTGGCCGTGGCTCAAGAACTAATTTTCGAGAGGGCCCAACTTGGCCCCAAGACGGCCTCAACATGGCACAAGCCGGCCTCCACCAGCCTCAACATCGGCCATCTTGGCATGGAAGATGGCTTTAGCAGAAAGCACGTGTTTTACGAGTACAATGTTTTGTGGCTTCATCCTGGGTTGAACAAGGCCCCAAAATGGCCCATCGTAGGTGCAAGAAACCCTACGATAGCCTGTGGAGCGATGTTGGGGCCAAGTTGGAGCCGTGTTGGAAGCTATGTTGGGCGATCTTAACATGGCCCACCATGACCCTAACATAGCCCTAACATGCCCCCAGCATCCCCATCCCCCCAAGATGGCCCAAGACGCTGATCTATCCAAAATCGCTTTTGACTCCAAGATTGCTCTTTGTAGGGCCAACATGGCCCCAAGTTGGCCCCAAGAGGCCTCAAGATGGCGCAAGACATCGGCCATCTTAGCATGATTTAGCCGTTTTGGGCGTCGGCCTGGGGCGGGCGTAAGACGCCGTATCGCAGCGCATCTTCGACACAAGAAGGCCTAACATGGTCTCAACATGGCCCAAGTTGACGCCCAAAGTTTCACCATGAACTCTCTTGGCTTCCAACTGTGCTGTGACAAAAAACGCTGTTTTACAAGGGTTTTGGCCGTTATGGCCCGCAACAAGGCCGGAACATGCGCCCAACATGGTGCGCGATGCCCCAACAAGCCCCGAGCCAAGCCCAACATGGCACAAGCTGGCCTCCACAAGCCTCAATATCGGCCATCTTGGCATAGAAGCTGGCTTTAACAGAAAAGCACGTATTTTACAAAATGTTTTGTGGCGTTGAACATGGCCCCAAAATGGCCCATTGTACGTGCAAGAAACCCTACGATAACCCATCTTCGGCCCAAGATGGCCCAACATAGCTTCCACATGGCTTCCGCACACCCCCAACATCGCCCAACACGGCTCCAATCCAACATCGCCGCCACATCGCTCAACATGCACTCCACATGACCCAACATGGCCCCACCATGGCCCAACATGACCCTAACCCCAAGATGGCCCAATATGATCCCAACATGGCCCCAACATAGGATGGCCCAAGATGGCCCTCAATGTGGCCTAACCCCTCCCCCCTCCCTGGCCGGTGGCAGGCTGTGAGGCGCAAGCCTTTAAATCCGGCAATGCCTTGGCAGCTCGCCGTTCGAGGGGACTCTGCACATCGCTGCAGCATTGCATCCGGTTACAACCGACCCACCCCCCAAATCCTTCACTCTGGTGGTGTTTTCGCGTTTTTGGGCCGCGCAACACGGATAAAAACTAGCTAGCATGGCAGGGTTTGGAAGGTCCATTTTGGGCAGTTTCTTGTGGACTTTTGCTGTTTGTTTTTAGCCAAAACACTGCCATTTACAATGTTTTTGTCGCTTTGGCATTGAAAAGCGACTTCTTGCAACATGCTGAAAACTGCGTAAATACCAGTGCTTTTGCCAGGTTCTGGCCAAACAATACTGCAAATACCGTGATTTTTGCTACCAAAAGCAAAACACAGGTAAATACTGTGGTTTTGGGATGTTTTGGGCTTCCGAGTTGCAAAAAACATTGGTCGGTATTCCGGTGTTTTTTGCTCCGAGAGTTTCACAAAAACGTGAAAATACAACCTATTTGACAATTTTTGGCCACTACGGACTAAGAAAAAAGTTGAAGGGGTAACAGCAACGACGACGACGACGACGACGACAACAAACAACCACAACCACAACCACAACGACAACAGTAACAGTGAGAGTAACAGAGCAAGCGGGCGACATTCTGGGCAACAACAGCAACCCTTGCGCGTGCAAAGCCCTGCAATGTGTATAAGGTTTTGCTAGCCCTGCTACATTGGCCTGCAAATCAGAAAAGGACGATCACGCAACTTTCGACAGCTATTTTGACATTAACCATTGGCAACGTTTTTTGGCCGAGGGGGTATAAATATCCATACATATACATACATATCACATATATATATATATTGTGTCTTGCCTAACCTCTGTAACAGTCGTTAAAACAATTTCTCACTAAACATGCTTCAAATGGAGCACCAAAAAATTACGTTATTTTTCACGGTTTTCTTCGTGCACCGAATCGTGCTTTTTTGTGGTTTTCTTCGTGCACCAAATCGTGCTTTTTTCTGGTTTTCTTCGTGCACCAAATCGTGCTTTTTTGTGGTTTTCTTCGTGCACCAAATCGTGTTTTTTTGTGGTTTTCTTCGTGCACCAAATGGTGCCCCAGTTCATGCCTTTCTTTTTGATGATTTTGCTTCATACACCAAATCGTGCTCTAGTTCGAGCTTTTTTGTCGTTTTCTTCGTGCACCAAATCGTGCTTTTTTCTGTTTTTTTTTCGTGCACCAAGTCGTGCTTTTTTCTGGTTTTCTTCGTGCACCAAATCGTGCTTTTTTGTGGTTTTCTTCGTGCACCAAATCGTGCTTTTTTCTGGTTTTCTTCGTGCACCAAATCGTGCTTTTTTTGACATTTCTTCGTGCACCAAATCGTGCTTTTTTGTGGTTTTCTTCGTGCACCAAATGGTGCCCTACTTCGTGCCACTGTTACAGAGGTTAGGCAAGACACAATATATATACATAATGATCAGGGTTCAGATAAGGGGGGAGGAGTTGTGCAGAGGATTTTGATAGGTACAAGACACAAAGCATAGGGTGCACAACTACAAAATTCGATGCATGGTACCTTTTTTTGCAGCTACAAAATACAGAACACAACTTAATCTGATTCGGAAAATAATTCAAAATATGCACTACAAAAACCAATGTATCCGAAATTAAAAAACATAGCTGAAAATCGGAATTGCTAACATGATTTTTCCGAATGATATTTTGTAGTTGGGTCTATGCCATCCAAAGTTCCGACCCAAATAATTTCAGAAGACATTTTGTAGTTGTCAATGATTGAATTTAATTGGATCAAGTGTTGACCCCGTGCAGTTTGTTAGATAGCATTCTGTAGTTTCATGATCTGTTTGTGTCCATGTACATGTCACGCACTGTTCATGTTGGATGCTTCAACTATTCAACCTGTACAACTACAAAATGCAAATGATATTTTATGTTGGATGCTTCAACTAACTCAACATATACAACTACAAAATACAAATAAGGATTTGAAAGGAATCAACTACAAAATGAATGCAAATACAAAAAGGTGGTTCCAGCTCCACTTTTTTGTACAAAACGACCCCTGGCTGGCAATCTGTACTGTAGCCCAAGTCCTCCCCTTTACGTAGCTGAAATTTGAAGGAAGATACATAATGTATATACATTGGACCTGGATATTGGTCATATTTTTCGAATTTTTAGGTGTGCAGCATTTGACTGATCACATTGTCTCGAATCCTGCGTGGCCGTGAAAGCCTGCTCCGGGTCTTGAGTGTCGACACCTTTCGGCAAACTGCATTTTATTTTGCACTGCTGGATACATCTGGATACTGCTTGCACATGGCTGGCACTGCAGCAATTCAAAAATGATGGCAGCAAGATGCAGCAAGCTGCATGCAAAAAACAGCCCAAGAAAAGCATGGACGAACCAAATGGATGGACCTGGAGCGACATGGGATGACATGGGCACCTGGAAGCAGTCGCACTGCCACCAAAGGCGAGGTTTCAACAGCGCTAAGTAAAGCCAAGCGTGAGATCTCGCCGTTACCACCTCAGGATCGAGGAACTTCAGCATCCTGAACATTCAACTAGTTTTCTGACCATTTCTAGGGGCCCAACTTCGTCCCGACATGCTAACATTATTCGTTCTAACGTTTGGGCATAACTTGCCTGATTGCTTCTCAATAAAACATGCTCACAACTGCAAGAGATGCTTTCACAGTCTGGTTTCTCTCTCTCTCTCTCTCATTGATGTTGATAGTTGATACACAGTGATGTACAGGCAGGCCCCGAGAGACCTGGAGGATGAAACATGATGCACCACTCGCATAGCAACGGCTCCCTTGCAGGTCTCCCGTTTCCGTCTTCAGTGTCTGCGGTGCTGACCTACATCAATGATCTTGAAGATGTCGTGTAAATCACTGGCCAGCTTCTCCTTCAACTCAATGCATTCTCAAATGTATATAACTTGGGGATGCCTGTCTCACATGAGTCAACCAGATGCAACCAGCACACTATTGCAACGTGCAAATCTTCTGAAATGGGTAGACGGGTTTCACATATCTTCACATGGTGTGCTGCGCGAACACACGTGTCTTCAGTGTTGCATGGGCAGTCTGCGAGGCAAAGCATGAGACATAAAAAACACACGTAAAATACATGCCACACATTGCCACACCCACAAGCACAGAACATATAGAACCAGATCCTTTGGCGCTTTGGCGGACTGCCAATAGATTGCAAAATCCGTATATGAAATCCCTCAGGCTTCACACGGCTTCTGGCTGGTGGCTCTGCGATGAATTCTAGCATGTCTGGCTAGGTTTTAGTTTTTGGAATCATCTGTATATATAATAATATATATATATACACACAGGTGAACCTACATTTACATGCATTTAAATCTAATTTACATACATTTGTCATCATTTATCTACAACCTCTGTAGAATCAAATGCTGATGCGGGGCTGCGCGCCCAGAAATCCTAGGTCATAGAAATGAAACTTTTTGTCGCAAAAAAATACACTGAGATGACAAGAGGCTGCCCTTGCTGCCCGCCATGTGCTCGAAAATGCGCTCCACTTCATCGAACCTTGCAACTTCCCCCCTCAGCTTATGCATGAACTACGTGCATCACTTGCCATGGCTTAGGACTTGCAATGCGAAGTTGCAATAATTAGATGCAATCAGGGCATTAGAAGAAGATTATGGGATCATGCAAGGACCGCGACTCGAGCCTGGAGAGCCTTCCTTGCTTTACAGTACAACCGCAAAAAGTAAAATTGCTCAAAACATCCCCTTGTGGTGCACCCAGATGGGGTTGAACCTCTGAAAAATAAAATGAAATCAAGGGCACCCAGGCTACTGACCCCCAAAATGCAAAAATGAAATCAGGGGAGTTCAACCCCACATGTTGCGCAAAGAGAAAATCATCAGTATTATCAGTCATCCAACTGAGGGGTTTGCAAAAATAAAATCAAGAGTTTCCAGAAATAAAATCAAGAAGGTTCCAAGCCAGCATCCAAAATGTTCCAGAAATAAAACTGAAGGGTTCAAGGTCAGCATCTGTGTTTGTGAAATCATCTGAAATCTCAACAAAATCTATCAAATATTGAATCCAAACATATCCAAACCCAGTTTTTAAATAAGTATTTCAAGCTTTGTAGAAGCAGAATGGTGTAATCAGGTAATCACAATCCATAGTTTTTTTCTTTTTTTGTGGCGTGTTCTGGCTGCATCCTTTTCTGCCCAAACAATAGTGACCACCAAACAAAGCATAGATTCAATATATTCCAACCATACTACCCAACAAAATTCTACAAGCTTGGGAACCTTGGATTTTATTTTCCCCAAAATCTATCAAATATTGAATCCAAACATATCCAAACCCAGCTTTTAAATATGTATTTCAAGCTTTGTAGAAGCAGAATGGTGTAATCAGGTAATCACAATCCATAGTTTTTTCTTTTTTGTGGCGTGATAGCCATTGTTTTCATCATGTCTTGTCCACCAATTCCAACACAAGAGGTGTGTTCCAACATGTTCCAACAAAACAAAAAGGTAAGCAAAACGCAAAAATAAAACCAAAGGGACCCAACCTAAAGCTACTCCACCAGCTGCATTGGGGTTGGTTCTTGGTCTTGGCCCTGTCTCAAAAATAAAATCATAGGGGTCTGACTTACTCAAAACTTATGATAAGCACCTTTTGAAAAATAAATTTAAAAATGTTTCCGCCTCAAGCCCCTTGATTTTATTTTTGAACACCGCTTAGGGATTCAAAACATCCCCGTTCAGATTGGACCCGAGGGGTTGGGAGCCCCATTTTGTAGCTACAGAACGGCGTCCCCAAGGTGCCCTTCTTACAAGTTGGCAGAACCCAACGTTCACCGAGGAAGGTTTTTGTTACAAAATGGCAGTCCAAGCTAACCCCTAGTTACAAAATGAGTCACCGATTTTGCTCGACTCGCATCCGCTCGCATCCGTTGGCTCGATTTGCCCTTTACAGAATGGTGGGGACTGGGGGTGGCTATACTCGCACTATCCTAGGATCCCTGGGAAGTAAGCTGCAACAGCCCGGCCAGCCCGAGTCGCGGTTCATTTTTTCCGTTCTTTTGCGTTCATCCGTCTGTTTTGGCGTGACGCTGTCTGAGTGGCCAAGCTAAACATTAAATACAACGTTGGATGTCATAATCAAAAAATATAAATATATCGATATATATATTATATATATATATAAAATATATTATATATATGTATATATATATATTATCTGACCCCTAGTTACAAAATGAGTCACCGATTTTGCTCCACTCGCATCCGCTCGCATCCATTGGCTCGATTTGCCCTTTACAGAATGGTGGGGACTGGGGTGGCTATACTCGCACTATCCTAGGATCCCTGGGAAGTAACCTGCAACAGCCCGGCCAACCCGAGTCGCGGTTCATTTTTTCCGTTCTTTTGCGTTCATCCGTCTGTTTTGGCGTGACGCTGTCTGAGTGGCCAAGCTAAACATTAAATACAACGTTGGATGTCATAATCAAAAAAAATAAATATATCGATATATATATATGTATATATATATGTATATATATATATATATTATTTGACCCCTAGTTACAAAATGAGTCACCGATTTTGCTCGACTCGCATCCGCTCGCATCCATTGGCTCGATTTGCCCTTTACAGAATGGTGGGGACTGGGGGTGGCTATACTCGCACTATCCTAGGATCCCTGGGAAGTAACCTGCAACAGCCCGGCCAACCCGAGTCGCGGTTCATTTTTTCCGTTCTTTTGCGTTCATCCGTCTGTTTTGGCGTGACGCTGTCTGAGTGGCCAAGCTAAACATTAAATCCAACGTTGGATGTCATAATCAAAAAATATAAATATCGATGTATATATATATATTATATAAAATATATTATATATATATATGTATATATCATATATATATATATTTAAATAGATGTGACTCATCTCGAGCATTCATGACCACTCAGACGCATCAGACTTTTCAAGGCCTCTCCCAAGCCCTGCACCCAAGGCTATGAAAATTATTCTGTGATTTTTTGATTTCCATCCAGTTTGTAGGGGCTATAGTTGAGTATTATCCATTTACGCTTTGAACCCATCCAATTTGTAGTGGTTGTTGATTAGCCCTCCAGACTCCGACAGAAGTGGTCAGGACTGGAGGGTAACAAACTCGCACTTCCAATGCAAAATTCCGGTACCAGGGGGGGGTCCACTTACAAGATGGCAGAACCCAGGGTCAAAATTTTGCACAAAATGGTAGCCAAAAACCATTCTGTAACGGCCCTGAGGCCTCAGATTTAGTAACAAAAATTTCAACGGGTATCTCAAAACTACTCATTGCATGTCTCGACATTGTGCTCATGTGGGGGCCTGGCAGATTATATAAGAAACCTTCATAGGACACACATAGGTCGTCTTTATGAGGTCTTCGAAGCCCAGTGACGTGTCTGGGCATTTCATTGTAAGGCTCGCATCTCTTTTTGGCAAGATGGTCTTTGCAACCTCCTCGTTTTTTTGCACCTCGGTACGCTATGTACGCTTTATTGTGTGAGCGCTGCTTGCTTGACACTGTATAATGATGTATAATGAATTTATGATGTGAAACTATGTTTTGCGCAGTCTTCAACTCTGGCTTTCGAATTTTGTGGTGCCACATGGTGCCACAAGTTCACTCTTCAGCATCTTCAGCCTACCGTCGGCATCCTGCCTGCACTGCAAAACGTGCAAACAATGTCTGATTTGACTTTGCATGGGCGACCTTCTCTGCTTACACATTTCTAAATCCGATGTCAATGCCCTTCTGACTTTGAGATCTTCGTACTATGTAATTATATTATATCTCAAACTTCTGTTTACGACTTGCTGTCATTAGGAATCGCAAGGCAAGGCGCTGCTGCAAAAAAGTCCCAGCGGGAGATAAAACCATCCTTGTCCTTGGTGTCTTGGCTTGGTAGGGATACTGCATCAGCGATGAAAATTAATGGACTTTGTCTTGCTACTCCAATGATCGTTTGCGAAGCTGGGGCGCTTGGGCACAGTGTCCCACTGTAGTATTTGCAATTACCCTCAACACTTGCGCTTACCACACCCCAATCTGATCAAAGGGTGCAAGGATCAGAGTCCATTTCGCTGCAAAGTGCTCGCAGCCCTTCATCGAGGCATTCCATTTCCCGCTCGAATTTCTCCTTATGGTCCTTGTCCTTATCCTTGTTGTGAGGCTTCCTGGCCAGATTCCGGGCAAGATTTTCTTGATTTTCATGCGCGCGTGCACGATGCAAACTCTCAGTGCAACACTATGCAACACTTGCAACCACTGCATGATGGATAGTTTTTTTTTTGTGGTGCTCCGGTCTGCCCTGAAAAATCAAGGTTCTCGCATTTTTCCCGACCTGCCAGGTGAGGGCCTCTAGATTTTATAGAGTTACTTGCTCCTCCTCCTCCTCCTCCTCGTCCTCCTCCGACCTTCTCCGCCTCCTCCCAACAGCGAACTCCAGATCTCGGTGGGCACTGCCGGGCCTCAACCGCAAGCTCCAGATCTCAGTCGGCACCCTGCGAAGTGGGAGGCTGTGGAGTGGGCCTGGACCTCGAGCTCAGGAGGCTGTGGAGTGGCCTGGACCGGTGCCACATACCGACCTCAAGACACTATGGAGTGGCCCTGGACCCGAACGCATGTCAGATAGAATGCCAGACAGAATGCCAGATAGAATGGCGATATATCGAATGTATGGCAGATACGCACGCCAGATTTATGTCCAAAAAGAATGCCAGAATGAATGCCGCAAAGAATGCTAGAATGAATGCCAGAAAAAATGCCAGAATGAATGCAGAAAGAATGGCAGAACAGAATGTCAGAATAGATGCCGGATAGAATGCCGGAATGAATGCAGAAAGAATGACAGAATAGAATGTCAGAATAGATGCCGGATAGAACCAGAAAAGAATGTCAGATAGAATGCCAGATAAAATGCCAGAGGAGATGCCAGAAAGAATGTCAAAAATAGATGCCAAATAGATTAACAGAAAGAATGCCAGATAGAATGCCAGAGAAAATGTCAGAATAGATGCCAGAAAGGATGCCCAACAGGATGTCAGAATAGATGCCAGCTAGAATGCCATAACAGAAAGTCAGAATAGAATGTCAAAAAGAACGTCAGATAATGTCACGGTGGGGATCACTCGAAGTAAAAGAATTTTGTTTGCTTGTGAACTATCGGACTATATATGTTGATCTGGTCAAAAGGACCGTCACATCATCTTTCAGCTTGTGTACATATGCTAACATATGCTTCCCACTATACGGATAACAGCACACATGCACACACATACGCACATTGTATGTGCATATGTACGTACGTACGTACGTACGTACGTACATATGTATGTATGTATGTATGTATGTATGTATGCGTGCATGCATGTATGCATGTACGTATGTACGTACGTACCTACGTATGTATGTATGTATGTACGTACGTACGTACGTATGTATGTATGTATGTGTGTGTGTGTGTACCGTCTGAATAATTGAATAGACGTAAAACTTCAACGGCGACTCATCTCTATATAATACAATATAATATAATATACTATATTATGTTATATTAAATTATATTATATCATATTATATCATATTATATTATATTATATGAAATTATATTATATGAAATGATATTATATTAAATTATATTATATGATAGTTTATTATATCTTTAAAGTAGGGGATCACAGGGGTCCTGGGGGGGTCGGTGATCAACGAAGACACTTCCCCGGGACCCGTGTAAACGTACCTGCTGGGCTGTGGTGGTGCACCTGGGCGCATTTAAGTCGCAGCTGGTGGCCACCATAGCCCACACACACATATATATATAATTATATATATATAATTATATATATATATAATCTAAATCTAATTACATGTGAGGGGATTCAGTTCCCAACGGATCACTTCAATGATCCATTTCTTGTCTAGTGTGATTTCCATGGTGGCTCCGACATGGTGCCATGGACCCAACTGAGGGAACCCTGTTTAGGGTGAATGCGGACTGACCGGATTTCTGAATTGACACTTTTAACTTAGTAATTCGTTTACGTAAAGTGAAACAGTCAGCCTTACCGTTTATCAGCTCTTTTGCGACGTCCCGCTGATTCTGTCGTCCCTTGAGAACCTTTAGAACCTGCATCTTCGCTGATGTGAAATTCGGAACTGCCGAAGCCTTCATCTTACTCGCTGCTCAAGCTTTTTGAAGTGAAACATGACAAGAGCAACTGAAGGCAAAAGGCATGTCCCCTTCCTGCAGGTATGGTCTTTTTTGTATTTGGTGAGGTCAAACATATTGTGCATCTAATTCGCTTGACTTTGAACAGCCGTTTATGCCCATGTGGCTTGATCGACCACGGTCCCGTTTTGGGAGTAGCGCGCGATTACTTAGGAGTGAGCTGAGTCCCTTCTTTACATGCTGTTGTTTTTCATTCCTCCTCACCAACTAATTCCCCAATCGGTCCCCTATTTCATGCGTTCATCCCTCACCAGGTAGGTCGGGTCCTGTGCGTGCCTAGGTACGCGTAGGTTTCGCTGTGTTAGGTTGGTTCAGGCGCTTCCGTCTTCCCCCCCCTCCGCTGGTCTTGCACCGTGTCCGTCGACCTCCGCTTTTCTTTTTCCTTGCCCTTTCAGAGTTTGCCCGCTCCGGGCCAGGTCTGTTGGTGTTGGTGTTTGCTCCTTCCCTCTTCTTTTGCGTTCCCCTCCTCGGATCCCGGCTAAGTAATCTTTCATCTCATTTTCACTCTCATCTCATCTTTATTCCCCTTTTCATCCTCATTTTCATCTCATTTGCCAGGACACCACCGTGTGTGTGTGTGTGTGTGCCGTCTGAATAGATGTCAAACTTCGACGGCGACTCGTCTCTATGCAGGGGATCACAGGGGTCCCGGGGGGGTCGGTGATCAACGAAGACACCTCCCCGGGACCCGTGTAAACGTACCTGCTGGGCTGTGGTGGTGCACCTGGGCGCATTTAAGTCGCAGCTGGTGGCCACCATAGCCCACACACACACATATATATATAACTATATATATATAATTTATATAATCTAAATCTAATTACATGTGAGGGGATTCAGTTCCCAACGGATCACTTCAATGATCCATTTCTTGTCTATGTGTGTGTATGTATGTACTGTATGTACTGTATGTCTGTATATCTGTATGTCTGTCTGTCTGTATGTCTGTATGTCTGTATGTCTGTATGTCGGTCGGTCTGTCTCTGTCTGTCTCCGTCTCTGTCTGTGTCTGTCTCTGTGTCTGTCTCTGTGTCTGTGTCTGTCCCTGTGTCTGTCTCTGTGTCTGTCTCTGTGTCTGTCTGTGCCTGTCTGTGTCTGTCTCTGTCTGTCTCTGTCTGTCTCTGTCTGTCTCTGTCTGTCTCTGTCTGTCTGTCTCTGTCTGTCTGTGTCTGTCTCTGTCTGTCTGTGTCTGTGTCTGTGTCTGTCTCTGTGTCTGTGTCTGTGTCTGTGTCTGTGTGTCTGTGTGTGTGTCTGTGTGTGTGTCTGTGTGTGTGTCTGTGTGTGTGTGTGTGTCTGTGTGAGTGGTCTGGGGTGTGTCTGTGTGTGTGGGTCTGGTGTGTGGGTGGGTTCTGTGTGTGTGTCTGTGTGGGTGTCTGTGTGTGTGTATGGTGTGTGTTCTGGTGTGTGTGTGTCTGGTGGTGTGTGTCTGTGTGGTTGTCTGTGTGTGTGTTGATGTGTGTGTCTGCTGTGTGTGATGGGGGGGTCTCTGTGGGTGGGTCTCTTGTGGGTGGGTTCTCTGTGGGTGGGTCGCTTGGGTGGGTCCTCTGTGTGGTGTCGATGTGGGGTGTCGCTGTGGGTGTCGCTTGGGGTCCTGTGGGTGTCCCTGTGGGTGTCCATGTGGGTGGTCCCTGTGGTGTCCCTGTGGGTGTCCCTGTGGTTGTCCTTGTGGGTGCCCTGTGGGTGTCCCTGTGGGTGTCCCTGTGGCGTCCCGTGTTCTCTGTCGTCTGTTCTGCCTGTCTTGTCTGTACTCTGTCTGTCTCTGTCTGTGTCTGTCTGTCTCTGTCTGTCTCTGTCTGTCTCTGTCTGTCTCTGTCTGTCTCTGTCTGTCTCTGTCTGTCTCTGTCTGTCTCTGTCTGTCTCTGTCTGTGTCTGTCTGTGTCTGTCTGTGTCTGTCTGTGTCTGTCTGTGTCTGTCTGTCAGTGTCTGTCTGTGTCTGTCTGTGTCTGTCTGTGTCTGTCTGTCAGTGTCTGTCAGTGTCTGTCAGTGTCTGTCAGTGTCCGTCTGTGTCTGTCCGTCTGTGTCTGTCCGTCTGTGTCTGTCCGTCTGTGTCTGTCCGTCTGTGTCTGTCCGTCTGTGTCTGTCCGTCTGTGTCTGTCCGTCTGTCCGTCTGTCTCTCTGTCCGTGTCTGTCTCTCTGTGTCTCTGTCTCTCTGTGTCTCTGTCTCTCTGTGTCTCTGTCTCTCTGTGTCTCTGTCTCTCTGTGTCTGTCTCTGTGTCTGTGTCTGTCTCTGTGTTTGTCTCTGTGTCTCTGTGTCTGTGTGTCTGTGTCTGTGTGTGTCTGTGTGTGTCTGTGTGTGTCTGTGTGTGTCTGTGTGTGTCTGTGTGTGTCTGTGTGTCTGTGTGTCTGTGTGTGTCTGTGTGTGTCTGTGTGTGTCTGTGTCTCTGTGTGTCTGTGTCTCTGTGTGTCTGTCTGTGTGTGTGTGTGTCTGTGTGTGTGTGTGTGTCTGTGTCTGTGTGTGTGTCTGTGTCTGTCTCTGTGTGTGTGTGTCTGTCTCTGTGTGTGTGTCTGTGTGTGTGTGTGTCTGTGTGTGTGTGTCTGTGTGTGTGTCTGTGTGTCTGTGTGTGTGTACACTGCTATTCACATGCAGAAAACTACAACTGGACATTTGATGACTATGCACGTTATGTTTTCCGAATTCATGCGCCAAAGACTATGCACGTTATGTTTTCCGAATTCATGCGCCAAAGACTACTTAACAGCAGGGGGCTGCAGGGAATGTCATAGTTCTGCAGCCAACGAAGATGGCTATGACATTCTGTGATATCGATCCGGGACGCTGGATCGACGTACCTGCCTAATCATGTCTTTCCATTTCCGCGATGGGATGTGGCTAACCCAAGAACCACCTTGCCGATTAATGATTTGGACCTGGTTTCACCTGTTTATCAAGGATGATGGACTCAGGATTCTACCAGGCATGTACAACCACATCGTCATTGCAGTTCA